TATTCATTCTGTCAAATTACATATTTGTTCTCATCTATTACATAGAATAGGCGTTTTCACATACACTTATGTTGCACGTGTGTCCTGCATCATTCATGATTCATGCATAGAATATGCTTTCAGTTTTGCATAAAACGTGCATCTTGTTTCTTGCATAGAATATGCTTTCAATTAACATCATACATCGGTTGTCTATCTTGCATGGAACATACGTTGTCACTGTATTGATTTGTAATCTTGTTCACTTTGTGTATCTATCGAACTTGTTCACTTTGTGCATCTATTGCACACTTTCACTACATTATGTATTTATTGTACGGTCTCGTACTTTTTCTCTTTATCTCAGGACGCGTGAAACGTGGCCCTGGACGGGTTTTATCTTGGGACGTGTGAAATGCGACCCTGAGCGATTTTTTTCCACTTCTCACGATTTCAGCGTAATTAGAGTATCTCAGGATACGTGAAACGTGGCCCTGGGTGGGTTTTATCTCGGGACACGTGAAATGCGACCCCGAGTGATTTTTCTCTATTTCTCATGATTTCAGTGTGATTAGAGTATCTCAGGACGCGTGAAACGCGACCCTGAGCAGTGTTTTTCTCTCATCTTTTCATGGTTTCGGCATGGTTAGAGTGTGCATTTAGTTTTTCCCGCAGGGAACCTATTTCGATTTAAGCCTGAGACACCTTCATATGTTGCTATCTTGTTATTGCTTATTGTATCTGTTATTGCTTATTACATTATCTTGCATGATCATGAGTTTTGAAAATAGCTGGCTTCGCGGAGCATGTGAGTCCAGCTTTCAAAGTATTTTTCATGCATATCATTTGCATCCTGCCCTAGAACTACACTGGTTTGATTCCCTACAAAGGGATACGTAGGCAGCTTGCGAGCTCAACCAATTTTATTTATGTCTTGATTGTTTGCCCAAGTCTTAGGGCTTTGTCAAAATGGGTCATCTTCGAGCTTTGACATTCACTCACGTCAAGTCATAACTTTGAGTTCTGTCAAAGAGGGGCGACTGTAGACACCCCATTTTTGACCGTCCTTACAACTTGGGTGCCACTGATTGCGCACCCAATGATAAATTTGTATATGCTTGTCAAATGCTCGAAGTCCTCAGCAGAATGCCTCACCTTTGAGCTTCAAAACCGTGTGAACCTCTTGCTTTGTTTTGGAACAAAACAACAGTTTTTCAAGCCTAAACATCCTGGGACCTGCAGACCCACTAGTGTGGACTACTGGCCAGTAACGTGACTTGCTGTCCACTATTAGTGGCCTACCAGCCACTTGTGTGTTTTTTTAGATATTTTTGCCAGCTGTGCCAATTGTTTCCATGGATGCATGCACCAGTCCATACGTGTCTATATGGATATTTCGAAGGAGGTCTCATATTTTTCTATATATAGATGACCTCCTCTCTTGTTTTAAAGGTTAAAAAAATCTAGAGCAAAATTTTTCTCTCTCTCTACAATTCTCTCTCTCTCTTGCAAGTTCTTCACTCTTCGCTTATACACTCTAAACCAAACCTTGTGGTATTTGTGCTGAGGTGTTTTTGAGCTTGCATTTAGCTCTTGAGGGTGTGTATTTGTTGGGTTACAACTCAAAAAGGGTATCCCTCTTCAAGAGGTATAATTCTTAACTTGTTTCCTTTCTCTATTTGCCATCTTTTCTACTATTTTTGGACTATTTTTTGGACGGTTTTTACATTGAATTTCTGGGCTGAAACTTGTAGTTTAAGGCTATTAAGGGTAGAGGGGTGGATCACCCTTCTTTGCACCTAACTTCTTAGGCCTTTGCCCTTGTGTTTCCCACCTTTCTATTATCTTTTTTTGAGCTTTTTACTACTAAATCTCAGAGTTTTTTAGAGGCTAAAATCATGGTTTGAAGTCCCAAAAATGGAGGGGGTAGCCTTCCCTTCTTGTGCTTGCTTACTAGCTTAACATGCTCCATGTTGTAGTTTATTGTTTTAGCTATTTTTATCTTAAGTCTTTAGGACTATTTTAGGACTATTTTTAGTTGTTCATTACATTTGAGCTTTGTATAGCATGCTTATAGTGTAATGGTCCTCATAGGCTTGGTGGTTTAGGCATTAGGCACCAACCTATTTGAGTTGATAGGGTTTATTTTTTGCTTTCCATACTTGTATTCATATCTAATCACCTCTGCAACCTCCCTCATTTCTTGGCTTTTTCTTTGCTTTGAAAGTTATTTCAAACTACTTGCTTGTTTAAGCTTGAGATAGAGGTAGTGTGCTTAATGGTTTAATCCCTTTGGGGGTTCATTACCAACGACATGGCACTTCTCTCATGCCTAAAACAACATTTGGTTTGGTACTTCTCTCCATTAGTGGACTTAAAGCTCATTTTTGGATTCAATGAATTAAAGAATGGATGGTAATTAAAATGAAGTAATAAAATTGGGACTAAAAGTGATGCAAGACAATAAAATCAACTTGGGTTCAATCGGACGTTAATTGAACCCATTGAGTCATGAGTCATTTCATACTTGTTAGTTATGTAAACGGTTCAAGAGTCAATGTCAACCACTTTCCTTGATCAATCCATGATAGGGAGGAGGTTTTGTTGGTTTTTTGTTGTGCATTTATTGAAATTATGTCCCTTGATTCATAAGTTATCATGCAATGTGATTGCATCGATTGATGGCTTGTGAATTGAGCCTATTCTTCCTTTAAGCTGTTTGCTGATAAAGAGAGGTAGGGTGGACAAACATCCCCTAACAATACTCTGGTTTGTGCTTTGTTTGTCCTCTGTTGCTGCAGGACAGAACCAACATTAGTGGCCGGCAGGCCACTTTTTCTGGATGGCAACCCACTATTAGTGGCCTACTGGCCACTACTTCTGGGTTGCTAGCCACTTCTCCAAGGTAGATAGCGCCCTTTTTCCAACAGAGCAGAGCAGAAGCTGAGGTGAAAAACAGTGCCTTTTTCCAACTGTGACTATGCAACAAAGGCATTCCAGTAGCAAAACGGAGAGCATTATCGGATGGAAATCTGTATCCATGCGTGAGCCATCCCTCGATTCTCGGGATCCGTCAAGATGATGTTGTAATTATGCTTGGAGTAGAGGGCTTGTAACTAGTTAGTTAGAATAACAATGTGTTGTACTTATTTAATTAGCTAGAAGAATTAGTTAATTTGTTGTTGTTATAATTAGTTAAGTAGCTTAGCTAATTTATTCATTTGGGTTTGTAATAGTTAGTTAGTTCGGTAATTAATTAGCTAGGTTATTCATTCGGACCCACCCGCGCGAGGGCAAGCAATGTAATAATGTGTATGTCTTCCAACCCCACGTCTTGCTCCCTTTTATTTACTTGCTTATGATGGTTAGTTTAGAACATCACTTTCCTTTTAGCATATTCGATGTTTGCATCCACTTGTCTTGCATGCATCGAGGCTCGGTTTATCATTCTAACAATGCATTGTCGTTTAAATACTTTTTTAAAAAGGTGCTTAAACCGCATGCTATCAAATTGACTCACATGTAATAATTAGTAGCTGAGCCTATTAGTTACATATCGCATGTGTTGCATTAGTTAGGAGCATGCATGTTTTCTAACTCTTTTGTTTCTTTTAGCTCACCTCGGAGTACTAGGTGAGCACTTTTGTGCTTCAGCATATTGCATGAATGTGATTGTTGTTATGTTTAGCATGTTTTCCATGAGGCTAAGTGCTTAATTGATATATTTGCTTGAATACCTGGGGATGAAGACTAATTGCTTGAATTGAAATAATTTGAGTAATGTAGATATGCGATCACTTTTTCAAGTGGCACATATTCGAAACAATTTTCAAAACAAACATGAGATCATGCGTTCCAATTCTTGCAAATTAGTCTATACTTGTGTGCGCATCACATAGTAATGTTAGCCTAATAACTGGAACAAGAGCATATAATGTAAATAAGATTCACATCATGATTAGTAGAGGCTGATCTTTGATTGGGCAAGTGGGGTGCTCAATTCATGACCTTCCCCTCTCGTACCTAAATTCCCGAGCCAAGACAATCTTGGTAATAACGGACACGTGGCTTTTGGCATTTATGAGTTTCTTAAATTTCTCAAAAATATTTAGGTGGCGACTCTGTATCTGGCAAAGCAGTCCATTTTTGACATTTTGATTCAAAATCGATTTTCTAAAAGATTTGTCGAATTTAGACTCTTTGGTGTTTATCTATTTCACATTGCACTTGTGGAATCAGATTCAGAACCACGGGAGTCCGAACTGTAGGGCTAGTCATCTCCGAAAGGAGCATGAAAAGTTGAGCTACAATGCCGTTTGACGGTTTCCCACGGACGAAATATTCATGAGAGGTTGTATCGGTTTGAGAATTCCCCTTTGTTTCCTATGGTAAATGACTTGATTTGAGAATTGTGATATAAATTGAACATGGCATTGTTTTTAAAAAGAAAATGTATAACATTTCGGTCATGAGCATTGTAGATGCATTTCACCCTTATATCTTTGTTAAGATTCATATGTTGTGTTAGATTATTTCTACTGGGTTTTGGTTCACCCTATTTGGGGAAAACCATTTTAGGTGTTGATGACATGTCTCCGCTAAGGCAGTGACTTGGAAGGATTTGAAGCAAGAGCTTCTCTTCTTGTTGTATTCATCTTGTATAGCCAAGGGCTTAAAATGTATTGGGCCTAAAGTCCACTTTTGTTGTAACCAAGAACTATCCTAGAAAGTTGTAAGCCTTTAGGGCTTTTATTATTTGTTTTATTTTCAGTTCTTATCTCACGTTGTGATATATGGGATAGGCTTGTGAATTTATAATTGCATATGTCACACTTTTGTAAACTGAACTTGGATTTAATGGGAGATAATTACTTTATTGTTATTGACATTATGGTTGGATTATTGTAATTTATTTGGTGCGTTACAGTACCGCACCTACTTGTCCAGACTATGGAAGAAAACACAAAGGTGTCTGTTATCGATCAACAAGTGCTTGCTTTCGGTGGCGCAAGACTGGACAGATGGTAAAAGATTTTCCGATGTCCCAAAATCCCAACCATCCTACATCAAGTTCAACTAGGTCTGCTTTTGCACCAAGATCAAAAGTGAGAACCAATACTGGGAAAGAAACTCTGAGGCAAGGTAGAGTTCTTGCACTTGTGCCTAGGGACGTCCAGAATATCGAATCAGTGTTGTTAGGTATAATTCCTATCTGTGCCCAAAATGCATATGTGTTGATAGATTCTGGATCTATACATTCATTTGTGTCACATGCCTTCTCTAAAAAGTTGACTAGACCCTTAGAAGCTATAAACTATTTTCTATCTGTATCTACACCATCTGGGGGTTCTATGATGTGTGCGTATATGTATCCTGTATGTGATGTTATGATTGGGGAATTACTTTTATAGGTTGATTTGCTTCCCTTGGATATAGACCATTTTGATTGCATATTGGGTATGAACTGGTTGACTAAATATCATGCTACCATTGATTGTGTTACTAAATCTGTTATGTTTCGACCACCAGAGTTGCCTGAATTTGTATTTGCTAGGAATGGTGTAGTTTTCTGCTATGAAAGTAAACAAACTACTTAAGAAGGGATGTAGGGGTTATTTGTGTTGTGTTTTGAATGTGCCTGTAGATAGTGTTGATATGAAAACTATTCCTATAGTCAGTGAATTCCCTGATGTTTTCCCTAATGACCTACCTGGAGATTTGATTGATAGGGAAATCGAATTTACTATTGAAGTAGTACCTAGAACACAAAAAATATCTAAAACCCCATACAGAATGTCAATCACTGAACTGAAAGAATTGAAAATTCAACTGCAAGAATTGTTAGACAAGAAGTTTATTCGACTGAGTACTTTACCTTAGGGTGCTCCAGTTTTGCTTGTCAAAAAGAAAGATGGGACCCTAAGATTGTGTATAGACTATCGAGAATTGAACAAAGTAACTGTGAAAAACAAATACCTACTGCCCAAAACAGATGATTTGTTTGATCAACTTCAGGGACCCAAGTGTTCTCAAAGATAGATCTTAGATTTGGGTACCATCAGTTAAAAGTCAAACCTGAGGACATAGATAAAACAACTTTTTAAACTAGATATGGACACTATAAGTTTCTGTTAATGCCATTTAGAGTTACAAATGCACCTTCTGCGTTTATGGACTTAATGAATAGAGTTTTCAAACCATATCTTGATGAATTTGTTGTTATGTTTATTGATGATATTCTGATTTACTCCAAAAGTAGGGAAGAACATGAAAATCATTTGAGAATTGTGTTACAGACATTAAGAGAGAAGAAACTGTATGCAAAACTGTCCAAACGTGAATTCTGGCTTAACAGTATGACATTTCTGGGGCATGTTATCAACAAGAATGTCATATTTGTTGACTCGCAAAAGATTAAAGCTATTGTGAATAGGCCAAGACCAACTACAATGACAGAAGTTTGAAGTTTTCTAAGACTTGTTGGTTATTGCAGAAGAGTTGTGAAAGACTTTTCCAAACTTGCTTCGTCACTCACTCAGTTGACACAAAAAGGTGTGCCATTTGATTGAAATTATCAGAGAGAATCAGTGCTTCAAGAATTGAAAACCAGATTCGTGACTGCACCAATTTTGACTTTACCTACTGGTACCGATGGGTTCCAAATCTACAGTGATGCTTTGTACAAAGGCTTGGGGTGTGTGTTAATGCAAAATAGCAAAGTGATTGCGTATGCTTCTTAGCAACTTCAACCTCATGAGAAGAATTATCCAACCCATGACCTTGAACTTGTAGCTGTAATATTTGCTTTGAAAATCTAGCCCCATTATTTGTATGGAACAACTTGTGAAGTATATGCTGATCACAAGGGTTTAAAATATTTCTTCACTTAGAAAGAAATGAACAAAAGACAAAGAAGAGGGCTGTAATTAATAAAAGACTATGACTTGCAGATTCTGTACCATCCAGGGAATGCTAACACAGTTGCAAATGCCTTGAGTAGAAAATCCATTAGGAATCTGGCTTGTTTGCTCACCGGTCAGAAAGAGTTGTTGTGTGACTTAGAAAGAAATGAAATTGAAATTATTCTGCATGAACAGGGTGGAGTCTTAGCTGCTATTTCTGCACAGCCAGCAATAATTGAGGAAGTTAAAGAAAAAGCAACTAGAAGATGAATTTTTGAAAAAGATTGTTGATGAACTCGATTCGAAATCGAGACTGGGGTTTGTGTTTGAGAACAATGTGTTAAAATTCCAGGGTAGACTTTGTGTACCGAATTGTTCAAAACTGAGAAAGCGTATTATGACAGAAGCCCACAGTTCCAAATTTGCTATGCACTAAGGAAACACGAAAATGTACAAAGATTTGAAATAGAATTTCTAGTGGCCTGGAATGAAGAAATATATTGCTAATTTTGTAGCTAAATGTTTACATTGCCAATAGGTCAAAGCTAGACATCAACGACCCACTGGATTACTTCAACCGCTTCTAATACCAGAATGGAAATGAGAGCATATTACGATAGACTTTATTAGCAGTCTACCTCATTCTTTAAGAGGTATGGACTCTATCTGGGTTATTATTGATCGTTTGACTAAGTCTGCTCACTTTTTACTTGTTAAAAATTTTTATAATGTGGACAAATTGGCTAGTATTTATATTACTGAGATTGTGAGACTGTACGGAGTGCCAGTATCTATTGTGCCTGACAGAGATTCCAAGTTTACTTCAACATTCTGGCAGAGCTTGCAACAAGCCTTAGGAACTAAACTAAGACTTAGTAGTATATATCATCCACAGATAGATGGTCAGTCAGAATGAACTATTAAGACATTGGAAGATATGTTACGAATGTGTGTGTTGAATTTCCAAGGAAATTGGGAAACCTACTTGCCTTTGGCCGAGTTTGTGTATAACAACAACTATCACTCGAGTATCGGTATGACTCCTTATGAAGCTTTGTATGGAAGAAAATGTCGATCACCAATTTGTTGGGCCAAAGTAAGCGATAGATCGCTATTGGGACCCGAACTTGTGCAAGAGACGATTGAGAAAGTAAAGTTGATTCAGCAATGACTGAAAACCGCACAGAGTCGTCAGAAAAGTTATGTGGATGTTAGAAGAAGAGACCGAGAGTATAAAGTGGGCAACCATGTGTTTATGAAAGTGACTCCAATGAAAGGGAAAACCCGATTTGGAGCAAAAGTCAAGTTAGCACCACGGTATGTTAGACCATATAAAATTATTGAGAAAATCAATCTGGTGACGTATCAAGTGGCCTTACCTTCGGTCATGGAACATATGCATAATGTCTTCCATATCACAATGCTTCGGGATTATTTGCAAGATCTGCTTCATGTGATTGAACCGACACATGTGTTTTTGAAAGACGATTTTTCTTATGAGGAATGACCAATCCAAACAGTTAATCGCCAGATTAAACGATTGAGAAACAAAGAAATTCCATTAGTGAAAATTGATTGGCAACAACATGGAGGGACATATGTGACTTGGGAAACCGAAGAAGACATAATGAAATGATATCCGAAACTATTTCCATTGGATCCTATGTTCTTCCTAAATGAAGGTAACTTTAAGTTTGGAGGACCAAACTCTTTAAGGGGGGAAGACTGTGACAACTCCTATCCGTAATTATCCCATAATCCATAATTAAGAATGCTAATTAAGTTTTAAGGATGAGATTATGTGTTAATTATGCATTTTGTACGTGTTTTGCATTCCTATCTGTTAGCCATAGGAATATCAGTTTAGAATTCTACTTTGTTCTATTAATTGAAAGCCTTATCGACATCCAAACATGAAATTGACTACTTTAATGTGTTGAATTAAATTTTTAGAATTTTATGATAAGTTTAATTGGAATTTGATTCAGAATCAATTAATTAGAATAAATTGATTAGAATTAAACTAAATTACTTATCTTAAGCACACTTACTTAAGCTTAATCAAATTAAGCCTATATAAGGCTAATGTTACTCAAGAACCTTCCATATCTATACACTTACACTTCACAATCACCCTCTTGAGCATACAAACGAGAGAGAGAGAGAGAGAGAGAGAGAGAGAGAGAGAGAGAGTTGAGCTCAAAGCTAGACAATTAGAGAGAATTGGAGAATTCAAACAAGAATTACTAGAATTCAAGGGAAATTGAGGACTCTAGGTAAGAATCATGCTTTTAAAACTTTGCTTTCAAGACATTAGTGTATAAATTTAAGAGGTTTAAGTGATTAGCATGAGAGTTAAGCTTAGATTATGAAATTTGAGATTAATCCATGCATGCATGCATAAATCATGGATTTTGAGTTTTATTTCCAACAAATTCTGACATGCAAGTGCATATCTTTGCTATGTCTTGGGAGCTCACCATGATTTCCATGAGAACACTTCATTTATTCATGTTTCGGAAGTTTTGAATTCCTGTCATTGTCTATATATATTGTGGGAGCTGGATTTGGAAGGAGGCATACTTTAACAGACAGGTATTGCCCGGCTCTATCCAGAATCGTCAGGATGCCGAATATAAAGGGTAGGTGGGCCGAATAGGTACTGAGCTATGGAGCCGAGTTATGAACATAATGAGCGAAAAGTGGACCTGGCCCCGAGGCCCAGGGAAAAAGTATAAATAAAGGAATAGCAGACTAAGAAAGGTATGTGATAATTGTGGTGTTTAACTTAGAGTACAAGTAATCAAGAACGAGAGACTGACTTGTCCGTCGGAGTGCTAATTCCGGCACCTCCGATCGGAGTGTTTACTTCCTTTCAGGTGCCTATCGGAGGATCACGAGCGTCCCCCAGGATCATAAGAGTATTTCCAAAAACCACTTCCCCACAACTGGCGCCGTCTGTGGGAATACTCAAGCACATCCATGGCGGACGCGACGGAGGACCCTCCAATAGTCGCTAATGACACCACACAGATGGACGACTTCACTCTAACAAACGCGCACGGACTGGAGCCTAACCCAGTAAGACGCGCTTTGAACTTCGGTTCACCTTCGACCCCAGAACATGAGGCAATGCAGGCGATCATGGAGCAGGCAAAGCAAAACAAGCAGCGGTTGGAGAACATGATCGCTGAGAACGAGCGTCTCCGTCAGGATTTGGCACTGGAGGTGGCAAAGTCCAAACAAGCCGTGTGCCAAGACCCGGAGCGACCTCTGAAGGCAGGTGGTCGACGACCTCGAGCCCGGCAACAAGACACTGATAGCGACTCTGACTCACTATCTCCGGAGCCCAGAAAGAAAGGACGACCTACAACTTCCAGCTCCTCTGAAGAGAGCCCACACGTAAGGCATAAGTGCAGAAGAAACAGCTCAGATGACGAGGACCAGCATGATCCTTTTGTGCGACAGATCACAAGGGCAATCTTGCCCAAAAAGTTTAAAGCTCCGTCATTTACTCTCTATGATGGCAAGTCAGACCCCACTGATCATATCCGCCACTACAAGCAAGCGATGACATTGCATGCAGATGACGAAGCCCTTATGTGCCAAATATTCCCTAGTAGTTTGGGACCACTGGCTGTCAGGTGGTATTACAAACTGGAGCCAGCTTCGATCAAAACCTTCCACCAATTACAAAAGTCTTTCAGGGCCAGATTCATCACAAATGAGGTCCAGCCGAAACAAGTCGACTCTCTCTGGGCAATGCAAATCCTGCCAGG